AAAATTTCTACAAATTTTAACTGACAGTAGCACTGGGTGTTTGGTTAATGACTGCTGAATGTTTCCTTATAAGGAAACTGTTATATTACCATTACTATTACGAAGCAACCGAATCAAACATTTAAATAGCGTGGGATATGAGGTACTTGATGGATGTAATAGATACTCGAAGATAATAATAATAATAACGAAATTTTGGCAAACTTAGAACTTCGTACCCGCAAAATAAATAAATGAATAAATAAAATAAAAGGAATTTCAAAAGGACGGTTTTTCCATTGACACCGCTATTATTTTAACTACCTTCACTCCTCAGCAATGTTTTAAAAAGCGATAATTAAAATTTTGATAAAACCTACAGATATGAAAGTGAATTTATACATTTCTTTTGTTCTTGGGAATTGATAGCAAAAATAATAAACACTATTTATTAATTTATTAGATTGTTTATTTATGCTATTTATTTATAATATTATTTATTGAAATGGTTGGCAAAACACTAGTTAACTGCTAATTGATTCGAACTGTATAAGATGGTAAATAATAAGGATTTCCTTATAATAAGTTCACATATTTAAATAATTTAGTAATTTATATAACCACTGTTGGGTAATCTTCAGTCTAGTGAGTCATGAATCGAAAGACACATGATTGCCCAAGCGTGTATCACCTATAGAACTTAACTGACTGAATCTTTATTTATAAATTTATTAATACTAATTGTTTCCATATTTACTTTTTGTAAATTAGTAAATGATAAATATTGCATTAGTATTAGTTTTTAGAATGTTGCAAATATAAAATTATTCTTATAAATAAACAATCTAATTGTTGTGGATTCCATGATGAAATCCGGTCTCAAATGAATGACAAACGCAGGAATAAAATATAGCAAATAAATATATTGACGCAATAATACAATTGGTAATACGGTTAGTAGATCCAGAAATGCGGTTAGTACCAATAATAACATATATATAGTCTGGGAAATTCAGTATCGAAGTAGGACTTCCTTCTGAGTCTACGTGCTCGCAACTGTGACTCCTACAAAGCTGTTACCTCACACTATCACTCTCTCACTGTTCACTGTATCACTCTATCTGTGTATCTCTGTTACTCCCGTGTATTCACTGGCAGCAGTACAAGTACATACTGGTCGAGTCCATTTGTATGAAAAAGGGGTGGACCCCATAACACTAATGAATAAATAGTGATTCATATTTTTGTTGTAAATTCCCAAAGAAAATGTATACATTCACTTTCATTATATGTAGTTTTTATTACAATTCTGATCATAGTTTTTTTTTTAAATAATAAATATAGCCAAGGAGTGCAGAGATTTAAAATAATATCGATGTCAAGGTAAAAAAGCGTCCTCATGTTATTCCGTTTTTGGTGGCACGAAGTTCCAACTTTGTCGAAATTTTAACCTGTTTTTTTTTATAGCGAGGTTCATCTTTTACAAGACTCAAGGGCCACTCGAGGTAGAGGGTTACAGGTGGAGGCCATTTGTGCATATAGGAGTGGAAGGTAACGGTTAACCCTAGCCTTGAACAGGTTAAGATTGTAGTGATCGCGGGGAAACCGTGTTGGGTGTCGATTCCACAGGGTAGATGTTCGCGGGAAAAAGCTGCTCGAATGGAACCTATTTCTCACTGGTGGAATATGGAGGGAATGTGGGTGGTTTGCTACTGTGTAATTGGCATGGCGTGTTCTTACTGAGAAAGTTTGCGTCGGCGGGTCCATGGAATGTAGTTCGTCCGAGCACTTTCCATGAAAGTAGCGGTACAGCAGAGAGAAGCTTGCCACATTCCGCTTATGGGAGAGAGGTGGAAGGGTGGAGAATTATTCGCCACCTACAAGGGATCGGAGACGCCTTTGAACTCTGTCAAGCCTAGAGAATGAGGTCTAGGCAGCTCCAGCCCAATATGACAACAATACTCCATTTTTGGCCTGATCTGGTCCTTGTAAAGTTAGAGGACAACAGGGGGAGTCAGGTACTTACTAGCGATACAGAGAGTCGACCATTTTACCTGCATCCTTAGCAATAGATCTTCTGTACAAGTTCCACTTGAGGTCGGATGGGAGTTTGAGGCTCAACAGTAGTTCAAGGCAGGGTGAGAAAATTAATTGTATTTTTTATTTTTTTTTTATTTTTTCTTATTTTGTTCTTTATTTAAGCATTTCACCCCAATCAAGGCGGAATTGCCACTAGCACGCAAGGGATTACAAAGGATATAGAACAAGAGTAAAGAGGCGTGTCTGGGGAGAGGATAAAGAGAAGGGCAAGGAACAAGATCAAGCTATCAGATGATGTCGATTGACATTACACGTAAATATTAAAAGATTATAGTTATCAGGTAAGCAAGCAAGAGGAAGGGAGTTCCACAGACGGGAAGTGCGAGAGAAGAAGCTGCTTGAGTAGAAGAGACGATTACATTTAAACGTTTCGACAGTGAATGGGTGGGATCGAGATTCCAACCTAGTAGCTCGCTTAAATTCATGCAGTCTGGGAACCAGAGAAAGCAAATCGTTGGAACAGTTGCCGTGAAAATACTTATAGAAGTGACAGGGGGAAGCCACGGCACGTCTGTGAGAAAGTGATTGTAGACTAGATGCCAGATCAGGACCTATCACATTGCATATCCATCTCTGTATTTTGTCGAGGACCTCGAGACTGACAGCGGGGGCACCAGACCATATATGACAGCAATATTCCATGCAAGGACGGATGGCTGATTTATAGATTTGAAAGATGGACTCAGACGATAAAAATTTCTGACACGACACAGACAGAGCCAACTTTTCTTGCGGTAGATGATGCTGTTGAATCTATGTATTTGTTCCAGTTCATATCAGCGGTCAGCGTGAGACCAAGCAGGCGCAGAAAGTCGCTCTCCTGGAGTTGGGCATCAGCCATTCTGATGGGAGTCAGGGAGGGTTCTCTGTGGTTGGTAAATGTTGTAGAGTAGTTTTAGCAGTTGAGGCATTTCAATAAGTCGTCCTAAATTAGGTTCGACGTACAAAACGTTAGGAACTTGAAAATAAGAGTTAATGACGCAGCAATCTAGTTGTGATGGTTGATACTTCAATGTCCGACATCGACTGACTCACTCAACACCACTTAGCCCAACTGTCGGCCGCTACTACTACTACTACTTATTACGTGTGGGGGAGTCTATTAATAATAGAATAGGTACGTCAGGTATAACAGTAAATGAGAGCCGTTTCGTTATGGAGGCATTGAAGTTTACGAGCCATTTCCTGCTCCAGTCAACCACAGATTGAAGGTCCTTTTCGAGACCGGCGGCTAGGTTAGTTTTGTCAACGATACCAGAATTTATTTATTTCTTTTGTTTTTTTATTACTTTCTACGATTATTAAGTTAAGTAATATGAATCGGAAATAAAGATTGCGTTCGATTATAAACATTGCTCAATGGATGTTTCGTTTCTTTGAATATTTCGTTAGAAACAAAGAAAAAACTACTGAACTGTTACGTAATATCACTCCTCCTATATGTCAGTGAATTCTAGACAATTTCCTCACAACTGAAGAAGAGGGGTGAAGCAACGGAAACCGGGTCCTACAGATTCTGAGAATACCATGAACCAAACATGTGAACAACGACGAAGGTTTAGAGAAAATGGAAACAAAAAGGACATTCATACTTGACATCGGGAAGAGTTGAAATTTCCAGATCACATAACGAAGAAAGAAGGCTTGGAAAATCTGATATTCACAGGACAGATAGAAAGCAAGTAGTACATATGTAAACAACACTTAACCTACCTAGCGAGTATGGGTAAATAGATGAAGAAACAAGGTTTAAGAGAGATAACAAAAATACAAAATTTTATTCAGCTACAAAGGACAGAAAAATGTGGAGGGCCATGATCGCTGACGTCCTGATGGGACATGGCACATAGAAGCTGTACTCTTTATTTGGATTTATATGAGAATACACATAAACTAAATAATAATACTGACTGCTTGGTAAATGAATGCTTATTTTTCCTTATAAGGAAACGGCTAATATTACCTTTATCATTAAACAGTCGTCAGTTTGTTGCCCAAACAGAATACTAAGTCTACGAGTGCTTAAAAGTCTTCATGGTGAATTAGTATTTATTTTACATGCTTTTTTGTCTTGGAATGAGTACTTTTCTTCATTCTTCCTCTGTTTAGCAGCTATGCTTTATCTGTTTATTTACTGATACCTTATTTTTTTTTTTTAATTATACCTGTTAAAGAATAATTTTTTTCTCGGCTATATTATATCCCAGTGAATTTTTTTTTTTTTCGTGTGGGGTGGGAAGAATTTGCTTGTACAAATGAATATCGGCCATAATAAGAATCGTGCATATTTTCCGCTTTATCCGCCATAATCATTTCTCGCTCGCTACACGCCTCAAGTGAGCATCCTAAATTTATTCAGAACAGATGTCGCCAAAAAAAAAAACAACCGCCTGATCCAGAAAGAAAATTTTGCCAAGTAGAGAAAAAAAGCTCTAAAGAATTCATCATCATCATCATCATCATCACCTCCACCAACACTATCATCATCATCATCATCAGTTTCCTAGACTGGAAACTAGTAGCAGGTTTTCTGTCCCTTCTATCAGTCTGTGTTCGAATCTAGGTAAAAGCTGCGCTGTTCTCTGTCTGCGTCTCGTGGCTTTATAACCGGTCGTAACCAAATAAACAAACAAGCATTTATTTTTATATGCGCCATTGATTAGTTTTCTACGTTTTCAATCCCTTGCCAGAAAATATTTTTAGATTATTAGATTTTTTTGTTTTTTGTTTTTGAAGATAATAATGATTTAGTTGTTCAAGTCTTACTAATTAACCCATAGCTGGAGGCAAAGTGGTGGATTCATACCTTTCACAAGAGTATTCGTGTGTAAGTGAATATAACACACCCGACTGGAATTGGAACTTGGCTCATCGATTTCCATTTCCAAGCCGATATCCATTACGCCATCCAGACATTCAAGCTTACTGCACCTGGTATTCCCAAGCGGTCACCCATCTATGTACTAACCAGGCTCGGCGTTGTTTAACTTCGGTGAACGTACATAAACCGAAGTTTCAACGTGATGTAATGCGCCCTCAGGGTGGCAAAAATATAATCCTGGCGAAAAAAATATCCAAATCTGTTGGTAATTGGCCCTTTTCAGAATTAGGAATGACAGTACACAGGAGATTGTTGAAATTTCAAATGACAGGAAGTTGTGGAGAGCCATGACATCCCCTCGTTTGAAGGGACACGCCACATCAAAGAAGATATAATGTAGGCAAGTTGCTTTATAGGGTAGGGCAAATGGCTCTGAACTGAACCTTGAATTTATTCACATTGAGTCGGGCAAATTGATATTTTAAATAAGATTAAAGTTTCTTTATACAGATGTCAATGAAATACAGTACATTCTAAAATTATGGAAATACTTTTTATTAGTGAAATAATTTTTTTCAATGTTCAGATTTTGGAGTTTTTTTTTGTGTATTTGTTGGTTGATTGGTTGGTTGGTTTAGTTTAGCGGCATATCAACACCTCTAATGCCGAAATCTAAATATTTTGAACACAATTTTATGGCTTCAACTAAATACAGTGTAACCCGGATATAAGAGAGTTGTCGAGACCGGAGAAGAAGTCTCTTATTTCCGGGTTTGGTCTGTTTTATATACATTAACACAGGCTCTAATTTGGGACCAGAGAAAATCTCTCTTATATCCGGGTTTCTCTTATATCCGGGTCTCTTATATCCGGGTTACACTGTATATTTTGATTGCAATTGTGTGCCTTCAAGTACAAATAAAATGTATTGTTGGTTATTTTACTATAAATATATGTTGTTGGTAATATAATATAAAATGTATTATTAGTAATTTTTTATATAGAAATGTATTGCTGGTAATTTTACAATAAAAAATTGTGTACTTGTAAAATCTCATTAAAATAATGGATAGATAGTATTCAGATAGTCGAAAGTTCTGTAAAGATCTGTACTCGCATTCTACAACCTTAATATATACAGGTTGACCATCATTAGTCTGGCATCTTAATGACTTTTCGGGTTCTGGATTATTGATGGTTACGTTAATTTTTCTCTTTCTATGTTATAAGCTGTCGATGATCTGTATAAATTTTTATATTTACATTTTTTTTTCATTTTGGGGTGGTAACTTCGAGATCAAATTGCTCAAAGACTGAATCAGTATTTTTCCCAGTTAAATAGAACATTCACTCAGTTTCGAGTTAAGATTTTTTCAAGTCTGAATTGTCTGGACTATACATAAATTATAAGATTATTCCATGATCACCCTTCTCCGAACATTGTAGACTGGCGCTAGAGAATCCCTAATAAAGAGCTGTAATAAAATGCAAAAACAACATCACTTGAGGACATTCTTCATCGGCAACAAATAAAATGAATGTCATATGCAACTGGAAGAGAAAATAATGGTATAATCATGATTTTCATGTTCCACATTACTTTAAAAGGTTAAAACAAGATTTATTGAATTTAGAGATCCTGGATTCATTTAGTCGAATTTTAGGTTCTTTTTTTCGAGTTGTAAAATAAATGGTCATATATTTACTTCAAATTAATAATTAGAATAAAATAAATTAAAGTTCGAAAGTTGATAATGTGTTCGTTCGAGGACATTCGACTAACACCAGTCGCCTTTAGAAACGTTAATGCCGTCAGAATAAAAAGAAAACTTTGCATGATTTGATCTTGTTATTTTTAAGATGGACACGAGAAGACATTATTCTTTTTTTTAACCCTAGAACACTAACCATCAATTAAAGTTACACCACTACTAACTATGGGTATATCATACCCGATTTTGAAAATATCAAAAAATATAAAATATAAATCTTTATTTGAAATATTTTACATGCAGCCACTTCAAACTTTGTACTTTGATCAACATTAATAGGAAATGAAAAACATTATTTAGGTAAGAAAATCAGGTACTGAAAATTGTAATTAAAAATAGAAAAATTTGCGCTGGGTACTATATACCTATGGTTAGTGTTCTAGCGTTAAGTTAGGATGGAAAGAATATATTGGAAAGAACGCTAGCAGAAACTGAACTTAAATCTATTTTTAAGGGATGACCTTATAAATTTTAACCGATAGTAGTACAAGCTGCTTGGTCAATGCATATCGAATGTTTCCTTATAAGGAAACGGCTAATATTACCATTACCATTTAATAAAATATAACAGGTAATATCACGATCTCACAGAAAGAAAGATTTATTAATCCATTTACTTTGACAATACTTAAACGCATTCAATGATCAAATTCAAACTCAGATGCACGTATAATACCCGAATATATGCAGTCGAGAAACACTCAACTAAGCATACAAATACCAGACATGAACCCACCCACCCTGTAGCACGATAAACATCCACTTGTAAACGCGTCACAAAGTTTACACAATTCAACGTCTACGGTGTGACAAAGATGTCTATGAAAAAAAAAAAACTCCGTATTCATCACAAATAAACATATCAATTTATGAACAGTGCGTCCGCATTAGGATTTATTTACATGTAAGTTCAAAAGCGGCTTGAACAAAACAGTCGCGAATTCCGGCGATCAAAGGGCTGATACAGCAGATGTGACAAGCGAGCGACGAGTTGGTTCCGCTTGCCTCTTGTCAGATTCTGATGAGAACCAAATTAATTCAAAGACCTAGAAAACACAAAGATAAACAACAGTCATGCGCAAAAGGAAAGTGAAAGTAAAAGTAAAAATACTTAAAAAAGAGTTACCTGTTTCTGCATTATTTTACCCTATTCCAATATCGCCTACAAATTAGAGACAACTATTCAGACATTCACACACATACACACACAAACGCACGTCATGAAAAATTTGTATTTGCTTAAATATAAATGCATGCGTATATATATATATATATATATATATATATGCATGGGTAACTCTTTCTCTTTTCACATATGTTAGACAAATAATAGTTCATCTAATGTGTATATCCAACTAGGGTTAGAATTAGTTTCAGACTTGGCGAATATATATATATATATATATATATATATATATATATATATATATATGTGTGTGTGTATGTGTTTTCACTAAGTTTTTACACATTTTTTCGCGGGTCTTTAATTTTCTTACTTATGCCAACTAGGTGTGTGCAAAAACTATACGCAGTTTCCATTCGCTCTTTTCACAAAAGAAAAACTATAGGGATACAAAAGGAATTGAGTAAAAAAAAAACTTATAAATTTTCCTTGTCCATCACATTCAATGAAACATTAATAAAAAAAGGATTGGTATATATATATATATATATATATATATATATATATTGCGAGAGAGACCGAAGGAGAGAAGACGGTATACCTATAAATAAGAAAGTAAGAATATGGTTTGTATACGCATGGAAAGAACAAAAATAAGTTGCACATATCTCTTGCTTTCTCATTACACACACACACATATATATAAATATATAAATATATATATATATATATATATATATATATATATATATATATATATATATATAAGAGAGAGAGAGAGAGAGAGAGAGAGAATGTGTGTGTGTTTTAGGGTGAGAGACATTGAAAGCTGTATAATATCATTGACATGGTGAGAGGATCTGTTTACGCGGACAAAGGTTTAAAAAACAGAGAGAAATGTGATTACATCTTACTGCGTTTTTTTCCGCACGATTCTCTCATATCTGTGTAACTCAGTATTTCGTCTTTGATCAAACGTTTCAAAACCTTTCAAACCTTTTGATGAAAAGAATTGTTTACTCATGTAGCTGCAGCGGGTCAGAATGATAACTATTCCCAGTATATATATATATATATATATATATATATATATATATATATATATATATATATATATATATATATATATGTGTGTGTTTTTCAAACGAACTTCCGACGATATAGTAAATAGGTTTTTCAAATTGTTTGTTATGAAGTGAAAAGAATAAGCTGGGTCGTGTAATTAACACCTTGTGTTTTTTAAAAATTTTTTTTCATGACTAAGAATTCGTCGCAGCGAAAGGTATTCACACATTATTAAATGCTATTTTTTCTGATAAATACGTAAATTAATGCTTATTTTTCAAAATTTTTACTTATTTTACTTAATGTAACGCTGAGATTGTTAAAAGCATTTTTCCTCATTCCAGACATTTTTTCTCATCACAGAAATTTAGACAATTTCTTTATCATAAATAATATATTATGTATTGGCAATGTTTATCCACTATGTTTTAATAAAGTTTCATGAAAAAATGTGTATATAATATTTATTATATACTGTAAATGAAAAAATTATTATATATATAATATAAATATAAAAATGAAAAATTGTTATCATATATATATATATATATGTATATATATATAGTATAAATATTATATATATAATATAAAATGATATATACATATATGTATACATAATATAAATATTATATATATATAATATAAATATGATATATACATATATGGATACATAATATAAATATTATATATATATTATATAAAAATGATATATACATATATGGATACATAATATAAATATTATATATATAATATAAAAATGATATATACATATATGTATATATAATATAAAAATGATATATATATATATATATATATATATATATATATATATACATAATATAATTATATATGTAGTATAAATATTACATAATAAAATTATATACATAATATAAATATGATATATAGTATAAATATTATATATATATGTATACATAATATAAATATTATATGTATAAAATATAATATATAGATATAAAATATATATATATTAATATAATATATATATATATTATGTTAATATGTATATATAAAAAATCTAATATTTGTAATATATCCATATAACATATATATGTACCAGATATATTTATATACTATATATATATATATATACATATATATGTATAATATATTTATATATACTATATACTATATATATATATATATATATATATATATATATATATATATATATATATATATATATATATATATATATATATATATATATATATATATAT